GTATTAGAATGTGGGGCAGCGTTTGTGGTTATAGGGGGGTGGGGGGTTGGGGGCAGGAGGAAATGAGGATAGATAGGGTGGGAATGAAGAAGTAAAGGTGTGATAAAAGAGAACAAGGTACTTAAATGAGGTTTTTTACAAAGCAGAAGTGTTTAAGAAGAGCAGAGTATATGGAGAGTAAAAGAAAGGTAAAAGAGAAGAGGTGAGATAGTGCAAAAGGAGAGGCAGATGATAGAGTGGGAGGGCACTGTCAAGAAATTTAATGAAATAAAGAAAAAATTTTGGGAGCGAGTTAAACAAGTTAAAAAGCCTAAGGAAAAATAGATGGATTTTGTCAGTTAAAAACAGAGTAGGAGTAAGTAATTGGGGAGACATGAGGTATGGGGATAGAATGGCGAGGAAAATTTTGAAGGAACTTTTAAATGGTAAGGAAGAAACAGAGCAGTAATTTTCATGCCCTGGTCAGGGTGGTATACCATCTTTTAGGTAAGTGAAGAAGCGCAGAATGTAAGCGTGGGGAGTTACGTGAGGCATTACGTAAAATGAAAAGGGTAAAGCCAGCTGAACTGATGGATCATGACAGAAATGTTAAAAGCAGGGGATAAAGTGTTGGAGTGGTTGGTACTTTGTTTAATAAATGTATGAAAGAGGGGAAGGTACCTAGGGATTGGCGGAGAGCATGTATAGTCCCCCTTATATAAAGGGAAAGGGACAAAAGAGACTGTAAAAATTATAGAGGAATAAGCTATACTGAAATACCAAGGAAAAGTGCATCGGTAGGGTTATAATTGAAAAAATTAGAGGTAAAGACAGAATGTAGGATTGGCGGATGAGCAAGGAGGTTTCCAGAGTGGGTAGGGATGTGTAGATCAGGTTTTTAATTGAAGCATATATGTGAACAGTATTTAGATAAGATAGGGAAGTTTTATTTTTGCATTTTATGGATTTAGAAAGAGGCATGTATATAGAGTGTGATAGAGGAGCAATGTGGCAGATGTTGCAAGTATATAGGAATAGGTGGTAAGTTCTTAAATGCTGGTAAAAGAGTTTTTTATGAGATAGTGGAGGCTCAGTTAGGGTGTGTAGAAGAGAGTGAGACTACTTCCCGGTACAAGAGGTCTAGGACAGGGATGTGTAATGTCACCATGGTTGTTTAATATATTTATGATGGGTTGTAAAGGAAGTAAAAATGCAAGGGTGTTCGGGAGAGGGGTTGGGATTAAATTTTGGGGAATCACATTCAAAATGGGAATTGACACAGTTATTTTTTGCTGGTGATAACTGTTCTTATGGGAGATTTTAAAGAAAATGCACAGGTTAGTGATTAGTTTTGGGAATGTGGTGTATAGTAGAAAGTTGAAAGTGACATAGAAAAGAGTAGGAGATGAAGGTTGTCAAATGATTTAGAATAAAGAAAAATTGATATCAAATTGGGGAGGGGAGGAGTAAAGTGGAAGAAGTGAATGTTTTCAGATACTTGGGAGTTGACGTGTCGGCGGAAGGATTTAATGAAGGATGAGGGGTTAATCATAAGAATTGATGAGGGAACAAAGGGGAGTGGTGCATTGAGGTATAAGTGGAGTCAAAAAAAAAAACGTTATCTATGAAGCACAGAGATGGGGGAATGATGAAGTATGTAGTACCAAGCCACTCATTTATATGGGTGTGAAGCTTTGGGGTGCTAAATGCAGCAGCGAGGAGACGTTGGAGGCAGTGGAGGATGTCCCTGTATAACTCTTTGAGGTTTTGGTCCGTACCGAGTACGTTTTATAGACCGCGTAGGGGTTTTTGACGTAACAGTACTCCATAAATTCTAGCGCCTCAAATCTAGTGGGAGAAAGCCTGTAGGCCTTCATGTGAAAGAATGGGTCAATGTGGTCAGTGAGCAGTCTAAAACAAATCCTGCATCAACACAGTGCATAAGAAGAAAAACGAAAAAACTTGACCATTTTTTTTTTAATAAATCAGCGACTTTGCAGTGTATGTTCGTAGGTATTTATTGTTGTATGTTCATAGTGTCTTGGTCTTCGATGTTTATAGAATGGGAATGCATATTACAGAAATTGAGATGATTTTTGACTGGTTTTAACAATGAAGGTGCCTTGCAATTGAGCTCAAAGTACAGAATATGTTTGATTTTTACCAAACTCAAAAGTAAACAAATCGTGCCAACTGGCACAATACACGGTCAACTGGTGAGTCTAATTATACTTTTACAAGTGCACCAATAATATATATACCATTTTTTACATTATGCAGTAGTCTGTATAACAACAAATCTTATATTTTTTTGTAGAGAATAATAAATTCAAAGTGGAAAGCAAAAGGATATAAGAGGGCCCATGAGACGTGACCTAAGACTAGAGGAAATGTCATTTATAGTGCCAGGAATGTCCTTTCTTGTTTATTCTGGACCTAATCGAAATAGCATCTTTGAAATTGGGTGAACTGGACAAAATTGATAAATTCTGACCATGTACTGGATATTGAATTATATAAA